GCTTACCAAACTCAACTCATTTTTAACAAGAAAAATTATAGTAATTGTGCTTTAAACACTATAAGCCCAATGGACAACAGAACCTGAGTTACATTTTGAACAGCCTTTTTTGGTAGCCGCACATTTCATTTGAATCAGCAATCAGAGAGAGAACCGGAGCCGGACGGGAATAAAGTGTCTTTTATTAATCAGAGGCTGTTTGTTGTGCGTCTCTCACAGGTTTTCCATCATCACCACAGCGAACGCAATCAGGCCCTTCGTCTCCAGGCTAATGTTCTGTTTGTGTTGGTCTCGCTCGAGGGCCGTGACACACACACAATCGTCTGGCCAGGCGAGAAAGCGGAGAGGAAAGCCGATTGTACACTGGAGGAGTGAGAACATACACACATACTTATAGCGTGACATAAGTAATCAAGCTCAGATTAAATGTGACCCAACCGTACCCCATCATAGTGAACATTGAATAAAAGATGTGTGAATAAAAATGTGTGTTATAGAGGCTGTACTCTTGCATAATATGCATTTCTATAATGTACTTCTACACTGTAAAAAATGATCAATAAGTTATAACAACATGTTTTACATTGCTCATACTCATCAAAATAAGTTAAACAATTTATATATTTTTTTATGTTATACTAGATTCAACTCGTTTTTTTTGGTCAGTTTAATGTAATTTAATGACTTAAAAATACAAGTTGATTGTACACTGTAAAAAGTGATCGGTTGGCTTAAACCAATCCAATCCAACTTTATTTGTTAAGCACTTTTAAACAACCAAAGTGCTGTACAGAAAAATAATCACATGAGGCGCAAAATTACATATAAAATACAACAATAAAATAAAATGAAACAACATAAACATACACATAAACGAGTGCAAATAATAGCCACGCAATCAAAACTTAAAGGGATAGTTCACTTTGAAATTAATTTTAGATATGTTTTAGCTTACCTCAAGGGCATCCAAGATGTAGGTGTCTTTGTTTCCACAGTATTTTAAATTTTGATATTTTTAGGTCAAACCGTTCTTGTCTGTCAGTCATATAATGCAGGTCTATGGTCACCACCTCAAAGAGCATGACCAGAGAAGTCCAAATTAAACATGATTTAATGACTCGTAAATGTAAGTACTCATTGATGGCCTAAGACACGAAACGAGCGGTTTGTGTGAGAAAACGAACAGTATTTATATCGTTTTTACCTCTTGTAAACACAGCCACGTCCAAGTGATCTGAGGGCGCCGGCGCTTCGGTCTGGAAGTGATCTCTCGCGCATGTACGTCACTCATTGTTTACACAGAACAGAGATTGTAGGAAAGACGGCTAATTAAAAGGGTACTAATTTGCGCTTATCTGGGATGTTTAAACCGTCGTAAAAGAAAATAATTAAAAAAAAAAACAATTGTATGAGTGACATAGAGAGAGATCACTTCCGGCGCTTTTTCCGGACCGAAGTACCCGCGCCCTTAGAACCATAGATCACTTGGACGTGGCTGTGGTTACAAGAGGTAAAAACGATATAAATACTGTTCGTTTTCTCACACAAACCGCTCGTTTCGTGTCTTAGGCCATCAATGTGTACTTAAATGCGAAAATACTGTGGACACAAAGACACCTACATCTTGGATGCCCTTGAGGTAAGCTAAAACATATCAAAAATTAATTTCAAAGTGAACTATCCCTTTAACTTGAATTGAGGAAAGCCATTGCGTTTAAATTGCCAGAGGTGTAAAGTCCAGGAGTCAGAAAGTAAAAGTCCTGCCATATGTTTATTCCACACATGAACTCAGCCGGATGATTTCACTGATTAGTTCTCCTGGCTGAAGAACTGCTAATTAGCAAATCCAGGTGATTGGAACAAAATACTGAGGAGGACTTTTACTTTCTGGACCTGGACTTCACAAATCTGAAAATTATTAAAGGGATAGTTCACCCAAAGATGTAAACTCTGTCAGTAATGACTCTCCCTCATGTTGTTCAACCCCGTAAGACTTTCGTTCATCTTCGTTCACAAATGAAGATATTTCTGATTAAATCTGAGAGCTGGATCACTCCTCCATAGGCTTCTATTGTTATTGAAACTTGCCGGCCCAGAAAGTTATTAAAGACGTCGTTAAAATAGTCCGAGTGACTACAGCGGCTCAACCTTAAGATTATCAAGCGACGAGAATACTTTCTGTGCGCAAAAAACACACAAAAATAACGACTTTATTCAACTATTCATGTCCTTCTCTGTGGGCCTCGAGTGAGTTCACATCAGAACGCAGGCTCACTATTGGCCGACGCTGGTCATGTGTGTGATGCTGGCCAATAGTGAGCCTACGTTCTCACTATTGTTATTAATCATTGTTGTTATTGCTCATATTTAGGGTAAGTGGGTTTTAAACTAACCTTTAACGCTATTAAACTCCAGTTTGTGCTGCAAACATCAGATCCTGCAGCTTGCTGCAGTGCATGTGCTATTACTTTTCTAACTAATTCACTTCACTTGGTAGACCATAAAATGGACAAAAAAGATGCAAGTGAACCATGAACCGCGTCTAGAGACTTGATTTGAGATGCAAGATCATTGGTTAGATTCCCTGGAAATGCATCAACAGATCAAATGTATACCTTGAATGCAATGTAAGTCTCTTTGGATAAAAGCGTCTGCCGAATGCATAGATGTAATCACCGAAAACACACTAAAAAAACTCAGATCACCTCAGCAAACGCATTGCAAAAACGAGTTTTGCACATGCACTTGGTTCTTATTACTGCAAGTGGCATAAAATGACAGAACTCGAATGTTCCTTTTATAATCAAAGCTGTTTAAACTGCACTTTATACTGTTTATATGACTGAACTCAGTCATCCAAATATTGTGTTGCGGTAAGTTCGCTTTGAACTTGAATAATCTGATTTGATTTCAAACTCTATTGGTGATGCAACAGAGTTTAACTTTGTGCAAATGAGCCAATAGTTGCTCACACTAGTCACCTCAATTCGTCAACTCTCATTAAAAATGAATGATCTGTCACTTTAAATCACGGCCATTGTGAACACTCGCTTAGGTTTGGTTATAATGCTGTTGTAAATAATTGGAGATTATTGTAGTTTTTATGCTTCTACTTTAAGATTTTTCATGCTGCAAATATATAAACATTCTTAAATCAAGATTCATCATCATTTACTTGAAATGCAAAATGACTTTAGACATATTAAGTCTTGTTTCCTGCAAAAAATCATCAAAATTAAGCGAGTTTATGCTTGCAACTAACAACGTCTTCCAATGCGGTCAGAAAAATCAACTTAATTCAAAGATAAAACTACATTATTTTTCTGACCGCATTGCCAGATATTTGTTCTAGTTTTAAGCATAAACTTGATACATAAAACAAGAAGTAATTTTGCTTCTCACGTAATTGGATCTTGATTTAAGAATGTTTATGATTTTAAGAAAATCATTACGAGCAATTTTTGAGTGAAAATTGTTTTTACAGTGAATGTAATGCATTTGCATCTATGCATTTGCCGAATGCTCTTATCTGAAGCAACCTACAATATATTTGGGTAATATATTATATAAAAATCCCGAAACCATGACATTGGCATTGCTAACACCACCACTTTATACCAATTTAATAATGCGCTATAAGATGCTTGATCTTGACCCGCAGATGAAAATGTTCTTTGGTGGATTTCAGTCTCCTGCTGGTTTCCGAACACATGTTGCTGGTGAAGTAAGCAGCTTAAGTGGTGAATCTGACCTCAGGTGACAGGCCCTACTCGCAACCTGTGCACCGCAAAGCCTCGATACATTATCTGTCCTCCGGCTTCTTGTGGTTTTAAATGACTGCTTTCCATTGTGAGTGTTTCAGAGAGTTCCAGAGAGAGAAAGGGAAAAATGAAACCAAACTGGTTTTGGAATAATAGAGGTGGCGTGTGGCCATGGCTGTTTTTTCGAGAGCTGAATGGTGTTCCACAAGCGATGACAAGCTAAACACACACTCCTGATCTGACCTCTGCGATGGGTCGGGACACTGGAGAAAACATCCCATTGGTCCGAAACAAAGAGGTAGATTACAAAAGGAGAGAACGAAATGCCAATCACACCACAACAAAAAGACTCGGAATTATGAGTGATAACTTTCATGTTTTGATGACTTATGCAATACAGTTCTGTGTATTTCTCAGAACATATAATCACACAAGATCTCCTCCGTTGCTTTTCCACAACAGCAGAATTTGTGTGAACAAGTTTGTGGCTTGGTTTCTGATAAGACGTTTTCTTGATAACCCTTCGGATTTTATCTCTTACAGAGAAAAATTCAATGCCATGTGTAGACATTTCAAGATAGAGGCACTTCAACTTGTAAACAGTGTAGACGCGATCAAATCAAACATTGAGATGGTCTTTGAATTCTCATAATGATTTAGATTCCCAAGAACAATATCTTGACAAGTTGACAGTGTATATTGATGCGTTCCAGTCGATTAATGTTTTGAGTTTGGAGTCATGCAATAAAAAACCCACCAGTTTAGTTGCTAATACATGAAAAAACATCACATCCAAGCTATTCATAAGAAAATAAAGCACTTTAATGTTCATGAATTCTTTGCTTGCACATTAGAGAAACAAGATCGGAGAAATGCTGCATTAGCTTCTTTGTGCACAAACGTTAAGAATTCATCACAAACCAGTTGGAGAAACCAAGACATTTTGGGGCTCATAAGATTCATTGCACACCAGCCTAGTATCCTACAGAAAACACAACTTCAATCAACGTGACGTTAATTTCTCATCTCTTTTGGAAAGGTGATGACAAACATGAGCTGAACGGGAACCATTGGGAGAACGACGTTCCTGTAGATTAATGCAAAGACAGGCATGTAAAAGAGCTTTGACAATTTGACACAACACACTGCTGAGGGCACCATTGTAAGATACATTAAAAGCATGTTGGGCAGCAAATGCAAAGAGCAAAACCTTTATATTTTGCAGTGATCTTCTCAATATATATATATATATATATATATTTCATCATAGTTATAAAACATACTGTATGCACAATATATACAATATATCTTCACTTAAGAGATGCACAAAACACATTGTAAACAGAATAGTTTGGGCAGTCTTTTGCTGAGCAGGCAAGTGTCATATGTTTGAAATCTCCATTGGGTTCTTGTCCACCATTTCATGGTTGAGTTTTAAAGGAATCTCAATGTCTAACCTCTTCTTTTTCGGCTTTCTTTTCTTGCAGCAGATAAACGTCACCAATGACACGACGGTCAGAAACAGTCCGAGGCAAGTCACCGTAAGCGCAAGCAATACCATCCTCAACTCGCCACACTGATTTGGCACTCGTTCTCCTTCCCTCCCTTCCTTAATCGGAGGATCCTCACCATGATTGATATCTGCCCCTCTGGGCAACAAGCTTTGAATGAGCGTCTCATTGCTAACCGTTTCATTCACAAACAGGTTGACCAGTACAGTAGAGTACAGTTCTGGTTGACCGTGATCCCTCACTTTGACCCACAAACTGTAAAGACCTCGATTGTTCAAGGCTTTCCTCAAGGTGATGTTTCCCGTGTACGGGTCGATATCAAACGATCCCGGTTCTCCGTCAGTTCTCTTGATGATGCTGTAAGCAATAACAGCGTTCATTCCCGTGTCCCGGTCCACCGCATAGACCTCCGTAATCGACGTTCCTGGAAGCGTGTTGGGAAGCACCAGCATGAACGATTCGTTGGACTGAGGGAAAAGAACAGTGGGAGGGTTATCGTTCACATCTAGGAGGAGAACGGTCACCATTGTGATGCAAGAAAGAGCCGGTTCGCCTCCATCGATAGCCTCGATCCACACATAGTACGTTCCCTGCTGTTCCCGATCCAAAGGGGTTTTGGCGCGTAACGCACCTCGTCCGGTGTCAATCACGAAGATATCACTCCCGTTTAGGATTGACAGCGCCACCCAGCCGTTTTCCCCTGCATCCGCATCCGTAACCGTAAGCACGCCAATCTCCCCGAATCCTGGAAAGTTCTCCGGCACGAAAAAAGTAAAGTCCTTGTTGATAAACCGAGGGCTGTTGTCATTGCGATCCCGTACGGTTATAATCACAGTGGCGATTGACTCCTTTCTCGGCGTCCCGCGGTCGACGGCTCGCACCATGAATCGGTACGTCTCCTTTTCCTCGCGGTCAAGAGAAGTGGACACCGACAAAACCCCGGTTGACCTATCCAAGCCAAAAATGGTGGGAGCGTCGGCACCGAGTAGATAATAAACCTGACCTCTGCTTTCACTGTCCGCGTCGGTCGCCTGAAGCTGAACGAGGAACGTGTTCGGTGGGTTGTTCTCCTCCACTGTGATCTCAAAGAAGGATTGCTTGAAAACCGGAGCGTTGTCGTTAACGTCCAACACGTGGACCTTAACCACGGTATTAACAACTAATCCGTGAGCATTACGAACCACAATGACCATTTCATAATCCTGTTGCTGCTCGTAATCCAATAGTTCGGTGGTCTCAAGCAGGTACTCGTTTTTAAAGCGCTCATAAGGTACAAGCCGAAATGGACCTGTAGTTTCTAGAAAACACTCTATCTTCGGTTGTGGCTCTGTGTTTTTGATGGTGAAAAAAGCAATTGGTGAAAACGGTGGCTCCGATTCACTTAGACTGACAACACCGTCTTTCTCGGACGCGATGTAACGTGGCACAACAGCCGGAGGTCCGGAAAGCTGTCGGATAACATGAACGGTAACCGTTGCAACTTCTGGAATACATGTCGGCCCATTAGCCAGTACGATTAGTTTGTAGAGCTTTCCGGTGTTGTTGTCTATCTTCCCTGCTAGTTTAAGAACCCCAGTGATTGTATCCAAATGAAACAGGTTTCTGCTTTCTTGGGTGACCCGTTCGCTGAAGGAATACGTGATTACGGCGTTTTCCCCCTCGTCTGGGTCGTAGGCTTGTAGACGAGCCAATTGCGTGCCTTTAGTGGCGTTTCCATAAAGCGTAACGTTCACTTGCGACTCTGTAAACTTAGGGCAATTATCGTTGACGTCAGTAATGATAATCCTCAGAGTGGCAGTGCCGAGAAGTGGTGGAGTTCCTCCGTCCTCAGCGATAATATCAGTCACGTACTCCGCTTGTGTTTCTCTATCAAGATTCTCGGTTATTATGAGGAACGGCGTCAGCTCTCCGCCTTCGTTCTCCTCTACGTCTAATGTGAAAAACCCATAGTCGTTAACAAGCCAGTACGTTTGAACACTGTGAATCCCGATGTCAGGATCCACTGCTGATTGCTCAACTGCGAACCTGGCGTTAACAGGAGCGTTTTCCGGCACGGAAACCCTGATTTCGTCAACGGGGAAATGCGGACGGTTGTCGTTGACATCCTCGATTATGATTTTAATCTTAACCAGCTGAAAGTATTGCTGAGGAAGGATTAGCACGTCGAGGAAGATTGCGCAGCCTTGGCCCTCGTGGGACTCGGCGCACAGAGTCTCTCTGTCGATCTCCACGGCTGACGTGAAAAGATCCCCAGTCGTGTTGTTCAGAGTCACGTACTGCTGGCTGTTCGTCTTCAGCTCCAGATTGAAGGAGCGAGAGGGATCACTGGAAAGACCCAAGTTTAAGTCCGCAGCGATAGACCCTATGAGTGTCCCTTTAGATAATCCTTCTTTTATCTTATAGATGAGGTGACTGAAATTTGAAGAGCAGGAGAGAGGACCGGTGTACAAGAGGAGAATGAACAAACCCTAAAAATAAACAACAAAAAGTGTTTAGTAGGAGGCAACAGAACTATAAGTAAAACAGCATCACTTTAAAATCAAATGGAATACATAATAAAAAAAAAAAAGCAATGCAGATCAATTATACATTAGGCACTGTCTAACATTTATGTGGAGAGGGTTGGACTAAATCAACGTCCACATTAATATATGAATATTTACCATGATAAACATAATTTCTATAGTTATTTTACTACTGAACAAAAAAATATTATATAAATCTCTTTCAAACAGTGTTCAATGCTTCTAGAATCTTTCTCTCAGTTTAATTAATTTGGTCATGACAGAGTGGGGACAGGTTTAAATAACAACAAATGTTTTTCGACAGAAACTATGATTATCAACAACAACAAAAAAAGATTAAGGGATTGTAATGAAACTGCAAACTAAATAATAATACTTTATGCTCACACAACTTATTTCTGTTAACACACACACACACACACACACACACACACACAAATCTTTATAAAAATCCATCAAAATACTTATTAGACTTTGATTCATATAGCCAAGTATTAGGAGGAAATTCTGGATTATATAAAAAATCTTGGATTAAAGATATATATAATCCAAAATCATAACATCCATTCAAAAACGTATTAGACAAGTCATTATTAGACTTAATGATTCATACACATTTAGAATTGATATAAGTATTAGTCTGAATTTTGGTTATATAAAAATCATGAATTAAAGATATTAATCAAAAATATCAAAGATACTATTAAGAGAATTTGATGTCATGATAATTCAGTTTTCCGTGAATGTAAGAAACTTACCCATAACTCTGCTTTGCTGCGAAGGCATGTTCCTCTGTTAGTGTTCCACATGTTTCCCGTTCAGTGTTGGCGTCACAGGGAACGGGAGCGGGATGAGTTCACAGTAACAGCCGCATTATGAGCGCCTGTGAGCGGCTGATTCCTCGCTCGCTGCCCGATGCGCGACTGACGCGCGACTGACGCGCTCGACCCATTCATCTGACCGATACACTCCGACACGCCCACCGCATGCTAATGAGCTCCGGCGCGACCAATCAGGATGGGAGGAGGAGTGCTAGGAGGAATTCACTTGCAAGTCAAATCATTTTTTTAAGCGTTTGGAATAGTTTTAGTCTGAATTATTTATTGTTTTGTGGCTAAGAAAACACCAGCATGACAGGAATGCAGATTATCTTTTCTACACTTTGGAATTCATTTAACATTATAATATAATCAATGTAATAATATAATATAATATAATGTAATATAATTTAATCATTTGATGTAAATTGCTTGTGCTTTAAGTCACTGGATAAAGCAGCTGCATCATAAATATCATAAAAATCTTTTTGACTGTAAAGGGTTCTTGAGGTAATATATTTCTACTTTAGAGAGTAAAAAGTTTTGATGTTTCATTAGGTTCTTCAGATCAGTATTTTTAAGAGCGCACCACAATATTTCATATTTTTAAGAGCACAACATAATTTTTCGCACCACATCTGTGCAACCATAGAGAAAAGGATACAAATATGCATGAGTATTATTATTCCATATGTATCAGACAGCACAGATGATCAACACTGCATGTACAGATCAATACTGCACTAACAAAATAATAAGTTCCCGGTGGAAGAAAAGCAGAAGAGGGCAAGTACGCTTTTACAGGCCTGCGGTTGAGATTACATTAACACTCAGCTACATTAACAAGCTCATAGTAAATATGAGTCACTTTCTTTGTCTCTGCCACTCTTGATGAACAATTATTGTAGAGCTAAACACTTGCTTATTTGCTGCATCTTGTTTTTTTTTAACCCTATAGTGGTTTTTCCTTGCCTTCCAGAGCAGCAAATCAGTGATAATGTGAGGATTAGTGTTGAAGAATACAGGATGAAGCATCAGCAAATCAACTTCTCTTAATCTGTGCATTTTTAACCACAGCAACAGTGATTGAGAACATACTGTCCAGAGTAACAAACACACTGAGCTTTAACTCAGGATTGATTACATACAGTCCCATGGAAGACTTTGCATCTCATGATGTTTAAGATCGACATATTTATCTTAAAAATAAACTGTTGATGTATTTTTTTTTGTTTTGCCTTGCAGGTGGTAAAATGTCATTTCTTTTACATTCACATACATTCAAATATGTATCACCATGAAATCAAAATGAACTTTCCTCCTTTTTTATGGAATATTACAGTTTATTATAAACGATATACATGCACATAATTATTTTTAAATCCATGTGCCTCTTAAATAATAATAATAAATAATAATCTTTAATGAAAATTATTTCTCCCTCTGGAAGTGACATCTCTGATGACGAGGGCGGGGCAACCTGTCACTCACATGAGATCCACCAATAGCAAACCACAACCATTATTAATTCCCAACGAACACAAACAAGCCCCGCCCACATTTGTTCTTGGTTTTTTTTTTTATTGCATAAGTTATACATACAAAATCAGGGCATGAAGCATGGTTATATCTCTTTAAATGAACAATCATAACGACAGAAACAAAACATAAATATCAGGGATTTGCATACATTAGAATATGGAAATATGGAATTGCACAGAAAAAAAGAAAAGCACAATAATACGCACACATTTGTTCTTGTTCGTGAAGCCGTTCACTCATACACCTCAAAATAGGGAAAAAAGACCAGGGCAACTTCCGTTTAACAACGACAACCCAGAAATGAGCTCAAATATCCGGATCTAATTCAGTCAGTGACGACTCACCGATTCACTTGAGCAAACAGTGATTTACCTTAAATAAATACTCAGTATAACTAACTGTGTTCGCTGTCGTTTACCTGCAGGCGTTAGTGTTGCGACACACAAGGAATGCCTGTGCTCAAGATTGGGCTGTTTGTTTACAGGTAGGCCTATCCATGCTTTCAAAGCTGGATGCAATTCAAATTAAAGAGTAGAGCATTGTTACTATACTATCATGTGTTTACAAGAACCCTTAGGGAAAAGCTATTATTTTCAATTCTAGGCCTACTTGACAGAATTGAGAACAGATTTACACCCTGAACGCAACAAAAATGCCGAGAATGAAACTCATTATGTGAATCGCTTTTGTGCTGAAACTAGTTTCCACCACAGGTGTGACAGCCAGCGTGCGTCAGTAACCCTCAGTAAACCTTCTCTGTGTGTTCTCGAGGTTTCGACACGCCTCGTGAGGTTTAGCGGCTCCAGAAGAGTTTATTTCTGCGGAACAGGATCTCAGGTAAACGGTGGGCGGGATGTTAAAGAACCGTTTCTCACTCTTCAGTCCCTCAGGGCTTGTACAGTACAGTATGAGTTTACAGTCTTACAGGAGGATCAGTCACCGTGCAATTTGCAAATCAACGGACTGTTTGTTAAGTACTTTTGTTTTCACAATGCTCTGGAAGCTAATTGTCTCCGCCGCAGAATAAAACATTTAAAAAGATAATTGCGTAGAGTTTGTTTCTCAGAATTGCGTGTTATAAAGTCAGAATTGAAAGATATAAACTCACAATTGAGAGAAATAAACTCGCACTTCTGACTCTTTTCTTGAAATTGCGAGTTTTTTATGTAAGTTTGTTAACTAAAACCTGTTAGATAAAACGTAATTTAATCAGAAAAGTAAGACAGTCGACCAGTTGTTGTTTGGGTTTTGCATTTAAAAAAATAAAACAAATGCATGTATTAATAATTTGCTATAAGATCAATGACATGCAACAGCTAGTAGGTCAAACTAGTAAGAAACAGTTCATGCAACTGACCCCTGAAGTTAGAGAGCGTTGCCTACAATTGTATTTTTTTGTTGGTTATTATTTGCATGTTTAAAAAAAAAAAGTTTTTCAATGCATTTTAAGTTGCTCCAAACAGAAGTGCTCTGCATAGTTGTAGTGCAAACCCACCACATCAACTAGAGAAAGAAATGTTTGCTTTGCACGGTTTTGTGTGCTCTGCTGATTGTGCACCTGGTTTCTGTTCTTCAGGGAGAAAAGCTTCATTCAGAGAGAGTGACAGAACATTCATATCTCCCTTCTTCTGTCTGGTGTATCTACAGCTGCAGGTACGAGACGTTTACAGGTCGAAGCATGTCTTTATGACACTCCTGCATTAAATAAACACACAAACACAATGCATGCGAAATTATAAAAGAGAAATGAGTGACTAAATGTGGAACTTTCTAGTGCTGAGATGGAGACATTTGAATGCTTTTACACATTTCCATCAGCCGTATGGTTTTATTTATTCAGAAAATGAGATGTGGGCACATGGGCTGTGTGTGTGTGTGTGTGTGTGTGTGTGTGTGTGTGTGTGTGTGAGATCTCATTTAATGCTGGCTTAAGGACACCGGGAGGCTGTACGGTGAAACACTGATTGCCAGTAAATGCAGTGAATGTTGCCTTAGATTTCAGGCCAGATGTCATGATACTTTGTGCTCTAGTTTTAATTAAAGCGCCTTTAAGCTACATTGATAGCAGAGCTCAGGATATATGAGAAACACGTCCCAGGACGACCCGTGGGGAACCAGGCGAGAACAACAAATATGTTTTACACTCATTTCACATTCAGAAAAAGAGATTGAAAGGGTGCAAAGATAAACTCAATGTTCAGAACTCATTTCAAACCGCAGCTTGTGCTAACACACACTAACACTAAAGCTTGCGCTAACACACACTAACACTAAAGCTTGTGCTAACACACACTAACACTAAAGCTTGCGCTAACACACACTAACACTAAAGCTTGTGCTAACACACACTAACACTAAAGCTTGCGCTAACACACACTAACACTAAAGCTTGCGCTAACACACACTAACACTAAAGCTTGCGCTAACACACACTAACACTAAAGCTTGCGCTAACACACACTAACACTAAAGCTTGCGCTAACACACACTAACACTAAAGCTTGCGCTAACACACACTAACACTAAAGCTTGCGCTAACACACACTAACACTAAAGCTTGTGCTAACACACACTAACACTAAAGCTTGTGCTAACACACACTAACACTAAAGCTTGTGCTAACACACACTAACACTAAAGATTGCGCTAACACACACTAACACTAAAGCTTGCGCTAACACACACTAACACTAAAGCTTGCGCTAACACACACTAACACTAAAGCTTGCGCTAACACACACTAACACTAAAGCTTGTGCTAACACACACTAACACTAAAGCTTGCGCTAACACACACTAACACTAAAGCTTGCGCTAACACACACTAACACTAAAGCTTGCGCTAACACACACTAACACTAAAGCTTGCGCTAACACACACTAACACTAAAGCTTGCGCTAACACACACTAACACTAAAGCTTGCGCTAACACACACTAACACTAAAGCTTGCGCTAACACACACTAACACTAAAGCTTGCGCTAACACACACTAACACTAAAGCTTGCGCTAACACACACTAACACTAAAGCTTGCGCTAACACACACTAACACTAAAGCTTGCGCTAACACACACTAACACTAAAGCTTGCGCTAACACACACTAACACTAAAGCTTGCGCTAACACACACTAACACTAAAGCTTGCGCTAACACACACTAACACTAAAGCTTGCGCTAACACACACTAACACTAAAGCTTGCGCTAACACACACTAACACTTAAGCTTGCGCTAACACACACTAACACTAAAGCTTGCGCTAACACACACTAACACTAAAGCTTGCGTTAACACACACTAACACTTAAGCTTGCGCTAACACACACTAACACTTAAGCTTGCGCTAACACACACTAACACTAAAGCTTGCGCTAACACACACTAACACTAAAGCTTGCGCTAACACACACTAACACTAAAGCTTGCGTTAACACACACTAACACTTAAGCTTGCGCTAACACACACTAACACTTAAGCTTGCGCTAACACACACTAACACTTAAGCTTGCGCTAACACACACTAACACTAAAGCTTGTGCTAACACTAAGGGTGCTCCGATTGATCGGTCGCCGA